CCATGGTTTTCCATGGGCTCTTAGTTACTTGTTTAGATCACTTGCTTTACTTTGTTTTGTTTGAAATGGTGCTTGGTGTGGTTTTGAAAGTATTTTGAAAAGAGGCCATTGTTTAGGCGATCTTTGTAATGATTCTCGTTCGTAAGAATGTATACAAAGATGTTTGTCTTTTGAAAAATGTTTCAATGTTTTGTAAAATGTTTTGAAATGTGTGTGTGTTTGTTTTTGAAAATAGCAAGGATTATTTTGAAATTGATCAAGTAACTAGAAGCTATCTACCTACTCAAATGTCTTTCTTGTGCATTTTTATTCCTTTGACATTGTTGACTTACCATTGATTTGGTAAACAACCCTATCTTTGGATGTAAACGGGACGGGCGTGGGTCATCACATAACCATGATAGCAATGTTGCCAAGTATCTTAGCATGTTTGACGGGCCAAGATCATCTTTGTTTAGGCAACCTTTGTATAGCGTCATCGAGGGACTATGATCTTATATTTGTTTTGTTTTGCCAAGATACTTCGCGTGCGTAACATGGCCATTTTTATTTAGGCAACCAAGTGGGAGAAACCTTAGGGATGCTTGTGTGCAAAGTGTGTCATTCTTCATGCTTTTGTCTTGCATTAAGGTTTTTCTATTTGTTTTGTTTTTGTTCTTGTCATGCAAACCCTAGTTTACTAAACATGGTATAAAAGCGATAAATTGCGTAAATGTAAACTACGCTATTACAACAATTATTATGGGAGGGGGGATACAAGTTTTTGAATGGGGATATTGCACAAATATAAACCTAAAAATACTATTACAAGCCAATCAAATATTGTGCGCATTAAATAAATATACAAATATTAAAATGCAATGCAAATGTATTTATGTAAAAAATGTTTTGTATTTGTTTAATGTATGAGAAAATAATTTATTTAAACCCTAGAAATAAGAGAAAAATATTATTATTTTTGGAAAGGGATGAAACCCTAATTTTTTTGATTAAAAGAAAATAAAGTTTTCCTAATATCATTTTGTCCATTTTTGTACAAGAAATAATAAATAATATTATGTTTGAATATTAAAAATTAAATATGTATAAAAAATAATTATTTATGATTATAAGTGGTATAATAAAAAATGTTAAGTATTTTTTAAATGTATTTATAAATTATATAAGAAAATAAGTCCTATTTATTAAAATAAACTATTTTTTCATGTAAAAAAAATAATTAAAAAAAAATAAAATTGCAAAAAATTATTTAATTATTTTTTAGGATTTTTTAATATTCAGAAAAAATAATCAAAAGCAATAAATATGAAAATGTAAAAAAATATGAAAAATATACAAAATTAGCCAGGGGGTGCAAAAGTAATTCAGGGGGTGTGGATAATAAAAGCAACAAGCCCAAGGCGCCAAAGGTCCAGAACTTCATCCCTGTCCTCCAGCTTCTTCCTTACGCGCGCGTTTTTCCTTCAAACTGTATCTTTCGCATGCTTGCATAAAAACAAAATCTCATAACATAAAACATGTAGCATTTAATCTCACGATTCCAAACATATAAAATTTGTAACCTAACTCTAAAAGATCAAGGAGAATTTTAATGGCCCTAATTCGTGACCTAACTTTTTCAGCATTTTCAAACTTCAAATTCTCACAGCATAATAAATATAAATGAAAGGTATGCATATGTACAGCTTTACCATGTTATGGACTACATCTTTTCTTCACAAATCGTGGCTTGAGGATGCCTAAATAGAGAGATAGAGTTTTGAAAAATACCTCCTTCAGTTGGATTTGGATAGAGCAATGTAGGGACTTTAATGGAGGCCTGAGGATTGTGTGAGCTTCCTTGAACTTCCTTCAAGCTATTCCAATGCCTAGCTTGCTTTATAGATGGCCAGAAGTCTCTGCACAAGTCAAGCTGCAAGCTCCAAGTTTGAAAATGGCAATGGCTGGAACAAGGCTTACAGATGCAGGATGAATGCTTGGACTGCTTTGGTATGATTTGTATGAAGTGTTTCAAATGTTAAAATGCAAAACGCACGAGCCAAAAATGAAATGGCTATGATTTTGCAGAATTGCTATGTTTGGACAAAAAAATGGAGTTTTTGTGTTTTGGAGAGTTTCAGATGTAAAGCAATCGTGTTCTAGTTTGTAACAAGTTTATGAATATGTATAGAATGGATACAAAGTCCACCCTTACTAGCTGTACAAGTTCTAGCACTTTTGGCAACCTTTCTTGCATTTTAAGAAAAGTGAAATGACTTATGCAACATGCTTGTACTGGCTAGCTTGTGAGCTGATAGGAGTTGGTACACATTTCTTGATACCTGTGGAAGTTATTTGTACCAAAGGGACAGGTCCAAGGCTCAAGATTTGTAAAGTTGCAAAATCTCACCTTTATGAAAATGGCATTGTAACCTTTATGCCTAAAATGGAATTATCTCTTGTACAATGTTCCAAAAGCCAAGATAAAGCCTTTATCTTCTGAGTTTGCATTTAATTATGGAGTGAAAAGTGAGTTTAGGACCTGTAAAGCAAGGTACAACCAACATGGATTGGATTTGCAACTTGATCTCATGTAAAAATGGCTGGAACAAAAGTGATAAAATGCCAACTTCTCTTCTTTGATTCTCCCTAACCAAAAATGATCTTGGAGAGTTCTTAGACATTTTGGAAATCTTGCAATGTTCTCTATAATACATCTTTGAAATGCATTTTGAGATACCTCTTGGAACTAGGTGAAAAATGTCCATGAAGTTGGGTCCAAAACTTGCCTAAATTAGGGCAAAATTTCACTAAGTTATTTAGTACATGGACCTATATTCACAAATTCATAACTTGAGATCAAAGCATCTTTTGGGAAAAGTTTTTGAATAAAAGTTGTATATTTCATGGACTATTACAACTTTCATGTTGGAAGTTTTCTTTGAATCAAATTGCATCATGGTGAAAAAGTGGTGGAAAGTTGGGAAAAAATAAGAAAATTTCCATACTTAGAAAAATTCTAAGTTATGAAAATTTTCAAATTCAAAATCCTAATTTTCAAAATTGGTTTTCTTGGTGGACAAGTTTCATATTTTGACATATCTTGATGAATTATGACCCTTGGCACTTGATTTTGACCAAAAAGTCAAAGTTTGACTTTTCAGTGTACAATTGGCTTTTGATTAGTGGACTGCAAAATCCATCTGTCAATCCAATGAAATTGAGATCTTTTGAACCATGTAATTAGGTCAAGATGATGCCATTGGACCCTTGAAATCATGTTTGAACCCAATTGGTCATTGACTAAGTTAAAAATCAGGAATTACCCTTTCTCAGTCAAAACCCTAATTTTGACCATTTTGCCCTTTTGATGATTTGATCAAATTTCTTGAGGAGTTGTGATCCAAACTTGATCAAATGGTACATATAAGTCTAAAATGTTGTTGTGGATCAAAAATTATGAATTTTGACTGTAAATTGGCCATAGTTGACTTTTTCCTCAATACAACTAATTTTTAGGTCAACTGTCCAATTGACTGATAAAAAATGTGGTTCAAGGCTTGAAACTTAACATGAGCAATCTTAGGGGTCCAAGATGATGTATGAAAGTCACATGAAGCATTGGTGGTCCAAAAATCCTTGAGCAAACTCAAATCCTAATTTTGGGTTATCAGTGTAAGATGAGATGTCTTGAGCTGACCAAACCCTAATCTTGTCTTGAGTCCAAGAAGTCTTGTGAGAAAAATCTTGATAAATGAGAGGGAAAATTTTAGGGTACAACACCATGCATCATCAACATTACGTCTCCGTCTATTTTGACTTCCTCCAACTAAAAATTAGGTCTTCCTGTTACAAGTGAGGTGGCTATTCTTCTTCGCTGGATCCTTCTAATTTGTTCCCCATCCTCGATGTCTGCCTCTAGACATCGCATCAACTTCTCTTCAGACGCTCCATGGAGTGAATGTACTAAAATTTTATTTTCATCAGAGGTTTGGTGGCCGAGAAAATAATATAACCATCTTTGGTGAAAATCATGGGAGACGTCATTACGCAAATAATAGAGGAAAAATAAGAAGATAGTGCGAGAAAGTGTGAAGAATGACGGAGAAACTGGGGATTTATTTATAGAAAATAACATTTTGCCCTAGGCGCCAAGTGAGGTGGCGCCTCCTCTCACATTTAAAGTGCATGCGCCATCTCACTTGGCTAAAAGTGAGAGCATGCGCCAAGTGAGATGGCTCCTAGGGCAAAAGGGCAAGTGTAGGCGCCAACTGGGTTGGCTCGTCCTTTGTGGGGTTTTTTGAAACATGGTTATTTGCGCAATTTTCTCCAAAACATGGTTATTTGCGATTTTTTTTTTCAAAACCTGGTTATTACAAAAAAAAATTCCTCTTATCAATACTTTTAAAGATTATGCAAAGGTTTCTGGGCAACTCATTAACTGTAGTAAATCTTTTATTTTTGGTAGTGCGATGTCTTCTTCTCATCTCAACATCCTTGTGGAGTTATCTGGATTCATTATAGGTTTCTCTCCTCTCAACTATCTCAGAGTTTCTATTTTTAAAGTTAGACCTAAGGTGGTGTTTCTTCAGCCGATTGCATACAAAATTCTCAACAAGCTTGCTTCCTGAAAAGATTCTTTGTTATCGTTTGCGGCTAGGGTGAAGTTAGTCAAGTCCTCTATCCAGGGTATGCTTATTCACAGCATGGCCATCTATGATTGGCCTATTTCCCTTCTTAGAGACTTGAAGAAGGGGATTAAAAGATTACTTTGGAGTGGCGATATCTCCAAAAATATAGTTATCACAGTAGCTTGGAATCAAATTTGTTTTCCGTTTGAAGGAGGGCTTGGGATTAGATACTTAATTAAGCTAAATGAAGCCTTCAATTTAAATCTTGCTTGAGAGCTTTTAAATTCCAACAACAGTTGGGTCGTGCTTCTCTGGAAAAGGGTTTCTCGAAGTAATAAATTCATCAATCATCATGTGTTCTCTTCCATTTGGTCGAGTGTTAAACCAGAGATGTTCACCGTTATTGAGAATTCTTCGTGGTGTCTTGGTAATGGTAGCTCCATTAATTTATTGTTCGACAATTGGTGTGGCCAACCGTTGTATGTTCATAGAGATTCTCTAAGATCTTTTGAGGACCATCCGGTCAATATCATTCTGGTTAATGGTTTTTGGGATTTCTCCAAGTGATCTACCCTTATCCCCCTCTCTATCCAGGTGTGAATTCTCAACTGTCATATCCCTTTTGATCTCCAGTCGGACAAGAGATGTTGGAAGAATTCCGCTGATGGGGATTTAACTTTAAATATTGCTTATGACTTCAAACGACATAGGGGTAATATGGATGCTAAATGGAGTTTGATCTGGAACAAATTGATTCCTCCATCAAAGTCTTTTTTGGCATGGAGGCTTTTTCACCATAAGATGCCAACAGATGATCATTGGAAGAACAAGAGTTTCTCCTTCCCTTCTCGTTGTTCTCTTTGTGGGCGTTCGGAGAAAATGAAAACTCATCTTCTTTTCTACTGTGATTATGCTCACAAACTTTGGAGTTGGCTAAAAAATATGTTGAACATTTCGTCCTCTTCTCTCGGTTGGGATGTTTTATGGAAAATTCTCAACTCAGACGGGGCTACCCAATATTAGGTGATTTCTAAAGCTGCTTATTTTTACATCTGAACTTTGAACTGCTCGAAACATGGTTAGATTTAAGGATTCTTTTATTACTACATCTTTTATATCTTCGATTATGGCAGCAGTTCATACTGCTGGAAATGTTGTTGGTGTTGGTTCTTTTTTGAGCATGCCAGAGTTTGAAATCCTTAAAAAATTTAAGGTGTCTATTCGGCCCCCGAGGGCCCCAAATATTTTGGAAGTTTTATGGCAACCCCCACCTAGAGAGTGGATTAAGTTGAATTGTGATAGAGCCTCTACCTCCGATATTGTGGCTTGTGGGGGGGGGGGGGGGGGGGGGGGTTGGCAAGAGACAATGGTGGTTGTTTTTTTTGGGAGATTTTGCTTCCCCTTTAGGTGAAGATAATTCTCTCATTGCCGAACTTTTGGGTGCTATGCAAGCCATTGAGTTCGCTCATGAGAAGAACTAGAGTAATGTTTGGTTAGAAACTGACTCAAAGGCGCTGGTTCTTGCATTCAAACCTCCGTACATGGTTCCTTGGTTGATTAATAATATATGGATAAATTGTATAAATTTAGTCTCTCAGTGGAGTTTTGTGGTTTCACACATATTTAGAAAAGGGAATAGTTGTGCAGATGCTCTAGCTAACATAGATTTATATTTGACAAATGCTACTCGTTTTTTCTCTCTACTTAATTTTTTATGGGCATATTTTGTAAAGAATAGGATAGGTATGCTTTTCTTTTAACTTCACTTCAGATTTAGAGGGTTTTGACCTAGCCCCCCTTTCTTTTTGTGCTTTGCTCTTCTTTTTATATTTGATAACCTTATTTAAAAAAAACCTGTAACATTTTATTTTTTCCTATGTTTTGTTTTATTTTTTTTATAATTATTTTGAATAAAATATTTGATAATGTAAATTAGGATTTTCTAATAGTTGGGCTTTTGGATTCAATAGTTATACTATTTTTATAGGTTTAGCACCCCATTTTATAATTGTACTTTGTTTTAGGTTTTTGCTTAATTAGTGTAATTTTATTAGGTTAATTAAATTTAGTTAATTCAATTATTTTTTAATTAATTTAATTAGTGTTAGTTGATTTAGTTAGTTAGACTACTCAATTAGTAGGTATTTAATTTTGTTTATTAAAAATCTACAAAATGTCTAATTTATTTATTTAGAAAATTATTAAAAGAAAAATACTCAAAAGAAATCAAACACTTTTCGCAATCAAAATTAATTCAATATTTTTTAAATAAAAGGATTTTACATCCTCGAATAATTAATAGGTCGGTTTAACACTTAATAATTAATTATTCAAATAAAATAAATTTAAAATTCACTAATCAACAAATCAAATCAATTTTTCACATAGTGCAATCTAATTTCAACGAAGATCGACTCTTCAATCAATCAACCAAACCTAACCAAAATAGTTAACCAATCTAAATTATTTCTTTTACTAACATAATAAAACTCAAGATATTTTCATAAAAAAAATTAAATATGATTACTTTCAAAATTAACTGCGACCTACGTCTACGCTTACTCACTTTTCAAACTCAGACAAGGTTCAAGGATAACTCGAAAGCAATTCTATGCAATCCTATAAAAAATACCAACCAAACACATACGAACTACGAATTTGAACTCTGATTCTTTGCAAGGAGATATGTAGGCACGCGATTAAAACCAATGTGAGTCTCTTAATTAAAAACTTAAATCATTTTCCTATGCAGTTAATAATAACACGCCTTTAAATAGAAATTTCCAATCTATCCCTAAACCTAAGATAGGATGTCCCTTGAGAACAAAGGAGATGAAGGGTGCCTAACACCTCCCTTTCGTCAAACCAACTCGCGAACTTAAAATCTCTAAACAATTAGGATTATTCATTCTTTCTCATCCTTAGGATAAATAAGTAGTGGTGGCAACTCTCTTATTTTTTTCGGTTACAACACAAGTCTTATCAAATGATCTTAAGATATGATTGAACTTACCCGTGCAGACGTACATATCTTCTACTAGTTTAGCTTTATAGATATTTATCTAATAATTCCATGAAAAAAGAAGAGTAAAAAAATAAAAGTACTTATAACATAAACTTTAAATAAACTTTACATATTTAAATATAATCTTATACTCTATTACTACCACTTAATTTACTTAAACATGTCTCCAAGGTTCTAAAAAAAGAACTTATATATTTTTGAAAAATGTTAAAAGAATGTTTAACTGGCTAGGAAGAAATGACAAGATTCATATAAGTCGTACTAAAAAAATCTTAAAAGCCTCTTTACACCACTTAAACAAGGGAAGAATTTAGTGCCACTATATCAACATCACAAATCTCATGTTTAGGGATGTCAATTTGCATCTGTTAACGAGAATCACAATTGAGATTATGGGGCTCCAAAGTCGGAAATTCCCCCCCCCCCCCCCCCCCCCCCCCCCCACGAGGACATGAATAAAAGGAAAATTTTCTCTGAAAACACTTTAGAACGTGGATTGGGGAACTACCTTCCTCCCGCAGATTCCCTAACCCCGACCATATCATTTAAATTTTATAAATATAATATATAATTATATAATTTTACATGTTTTTTCATTAAAAAAATTAACAAATTAAAAAATGAAGAGTCATCGGTGGATATTGACAGATAGTGATAATCATTTTTTTGTTTCAATATTGTTTCACTACTCAAACTTAGAAAAGTGCACCTAGTACATAGAGTATACACATCGTCTCCTCCTCTTCTTTTCTCGATTTTATTTATCTCCTTCATTCATCATATCATATGTTCTCTTCATTATCACAACAACCACTCTCCTTCATTTGTCCAAGTAAACACAATAACAATTATGTGTTTGTTGATATGATTATGTGTTTAATTTTTATAGGAAAAAGAAAGTGAAGTATAATTGTGGAATGATGATGAAGACATTACAAGGAAAATCAGAATGATGAAGATGATATAATAATTTTCTTGGATAATTTCTTAAGAATTTGGTTTATTTAGATTAACTTTGTCCAAAGTAACTTTATTTGTCTACTTTTGATGGACAATTGCCTTGATATTTTAAATTATCATCCAATTTTATTTTGCTATGTATTGTGTAGAATATTTATCAATAGTTTTTTGTGTGAATATTTGACAATTCGAGTTTGCTATTTTTTCTAAGCATTATGGGAAATTTAAGTTGTGAGTTTTTGTATGATTATGCAGGGTAGCAACATGTTTTGTTGGATATTTATTTTTTTGACAAAAAAAAGAAATATTAGCAACTGCAAGTGTTTTTGCATTTTTTTGTTATTGATGCAATATGTATTTTTATTTAAAAAATGTAAAATATATGTGTTTTTTTAAAATATTAATACTGAAATGCTCACTACTATAAATAATACATTTTATACAAAACTTTCACATTACCTAATAAAAAATTAACTAAGGGACATACTTCTAATCTCAACAAACATAGCTTATGTTTTACTTATTTTATAATGTCGTCATTATTTTTAATTTTATTTTTTCATTCAAATATTAAGTCATTTGTTCCTTCAGTTAACCTACATATTGAGGGGAAAGATTATTCAATCATGAAAAAAAAACATCCGTTTATTAAGTTTTTCCCTAACCTAACTCATCTTCTGTTGCTCCAAACTCGTAACCATCATTCTCAGATATGGATTGCAAGACAGAAAAATCTTTTAAGGTTTCTTAATTAATTTGGAAATCTTCAAAGTTGGATTGTTGTTGTTGTTGCTACATTCATTATTTCATTGAAGAAACTAATTTTATCCATCGTGAATGAACCATTTTTCTTCTCTAACAATCTATCTCACATAATGACATTGTTATTGTTGATTCCATATTTTGTAATCCATTTTTATATTTGGGAATAATTTCTCAATGTTGTCATCCAAAACAAAATATCAATAATTTAATTCTTTCCTTGACTGACAACATTGAGAAATTATTCCTAATCATACTTAGAAATATTGCAAACCAAAATAAAAATGGCGGATTGTAAAATTTATAAGTGATATGCCTTACAAATCACCATTTTCTTTTTGGATGTGTAATAAAAGTAAACTATTCACTCATGTGAGATGAAAACCGTGGGGAAAAGATTATTTTATTGTACTTTTTATTTAAAAGATAAACAATATATTATATGTGTTCATAAATATCTGAGTGAAAAAGTGACACAATTGTGATTATAAGCGTATCTTTCCCGTCCATGTATCAATGCTCAAGATATTATCAACTCATCAATCCACAATAAACATTAGTGATCCACGTGTAACTCTCATGCTAGCCAATAAGGACGTAGACATCATAAATGTATATCTTGGATGCTAGATTGTGAATGATAAAAATTTATAATGAAAACATTAGGATTGAACAAATATATGCAAAGTATTGGTTCAAGGTTGGTGTTCCTTACATAATCTCTTGTTTTGTTACATGAAACATTGTTTTCCTTTTCTAACTTTTGTAAATTTTATACCAGAAACAAATGCATTTAAAGTTGTTGAAAATATATTTCATACATATGGGTATGCAACATAATTCAATATTTGAGCTTCACAAAGATTCAAAAGGACGATAAAGAAGCAGCTAAATTTTCTAATAAATTTGTATTTGTAGATTGAAACGAAAATAAAGTAAAATTTAAAAATTAGTATTTTAACAAAACTATATATATATATATATATATATATATATATATATATATATATATATATATATATATATATATATATATATATATATATATATATATATATATATATATATATATATATATATATATATATAATTGTTAAGAAAAGCTAGATATTTGAATCTAACTTAGTTGAAAAACTAGATATAATATTTATGATACTCAATTATGAGAAAATGATGAAGGAAGTGAAATGATATTTTTCTATCTTTCAAAGTTAAACTTGGTGTCTTTTACATTTACCAAAGGAGTGTATTTATACTAGTAGAAATATTACTATTA